ATCTACAGCACCCTCAGGGCCACATATATTTGCCATTTTATACTTACCTCCATGCCATCCTCCACCAGATATCCCTCTGTGAATACTCAGCTGTCTTAACTGTGGTGTTCCATGCAGTTTTCAATCCAGGGTATAGTTGAAATTGCCATGGTCAGCCCTATATGGTTCCACACTGCAGTTCAAACAATACGCCAGGACAGGAAGCTGCGTTCTACGGTAGGAGTACTGCTAACTTCATAGGGTCTTACATCAATATATCCAGGGAAGGATACCACAAAAGTAATTTGAACCTCCAAGGTGCTGTAGATTCCACTTTTCTTGGTTCTGCTTTAAGAGCACCTAATAGATATCCTTTTCATTTGTTCTCAGCCTTTTTCATTAAGAAGCATTACATAAACCTACATGTGAATGGGGCAAAGTGCTTATTATCAGGAGGCTTGAGCTGTAATTTTCAGTAAAGGTAAAATAACAGGTTCTTTATATTAAAGAATTTTCCAGATCTGTCAGTCTACCCAGCAGAATACCACTAGGGAATTGCAAGGAAAAAAGAAAACTTGACCTTCCTTCACCTCTAAGGATGAGGGAATAGAATGTAAAAATAAATCTCAGATCTGCCTGAGCGTGTCCTGCTCCATCTTTATAGAGGAAGCCTTGTTGCTGTAATCCCTAGAGGCAGCCAGCGTCACACAGTGCTAGCACTGCAGTGCAGACAGACAGACAGAACCTGAAGACCTTCACAAGGAAAAGTTTCTTACTGTGTGATGGAAAAATTCTGGCCAGATGAGGCATGTAACTAGACACTGCTCTTATCAAAACTTACTTTGACCCTAGTCTTTCATCCCAGCTTAGTAAGGTTAAAAGGCCAGCTAATGGTCTCCTTGATTATGAAATATATTTGTTTCTGAGTGTAACTAAGATAATCCAAGATACCAGGCACATATTTGTGGAATCTCTAGTACAGAGATTTTTTTCCATAGTAACCCACAACCATAACATGCATTTCCCTACACACTTATATACTGTATATAATAACAATTATAATAAAACCTGACCTTTATTTAATTAAGTATTGAAAAAATGGATAAGCAATGCATATGCACAAATACTATTTTATATAAACACATTTCTGCCATTAGTAACAAATAGGAACAGAGAATGTGGTATACTGTATAAATGTATGAAATTCCTATTGGTAAAAATTCTGTACATGGACTATCAAGGTGATCAAGAAACTCAATTCAGGAGACTTAAGTTAGTAAGCACCACAAGTGAGTCCTTTCTGAACATCAATATTGCTTTTCAAATACTCTCCTGCCAATGAGCGGATTCTCTAAGCCTAAAGCTGAACTCTAGGCAGTTATAAATAACGCAGCTCTGTAATCGTTAATAAGCCCTTATGTTTATTTTTAAATGCAGTCAGCGTAAGTATCTCAACAAAAATTGGAGACGGAAACGCCACTACCTGGCGCAATAAATGTGGTAGAGCAGGGTATAAGCGTAAGTGATGTACTCACCTATGGCTGGGTAAGCATTCGCTTGTAGCAGTCGGGTTGAGGTGGAGCGGATGGAGTGGAGCAGTAGTGGGAACATTCCCTCTTTTGCTGGGTGGTGTGGTAGTTAAACCAGGTGACTATCACACCACCCAGCAAAAGAGAGACCGTTCCCACTACTGCTCCACTCCATCCGCTCCACCTCAACCCGACTGCTACACTTGTTGGACAACCCGGTCCGAACATAACGGAAGCCGCACACCTGCAGAACAAACCCCACCCCCCCCTTCTTTAAATTTTCCAAACTTATCACACCCCAAGTGCAACCGGGGTACCCACCAAGTACCGCCGTTCTCCCTCTTATTTCCCCCACCTCTGACAAGCGCCACACAGGGGGTAAAACTTTTTACATTTTTCAGTGTAAGTATCTAAATGTGACCTGATGTCAGCCTCTTGCAGTCCATGCACAGCAGGGCTGGAGTGTGAGAAGAAGCAGTACAAGGAGCCAATCAGTTTATGTGCTGACAAGAACCATGCTGATATGAGCAAAGAGTTCAGAGTGACAGAGAGATGGGCTCGTCACTGTACTACTTCTACTTTTACTGTCCAGCTACAGGTTGGGGCAAGTCCAGGAATACCAGGGCTCAGAGGAAATTGATTAAATGATGCTGGCCATTAGACAAAGGACCTCTAGTGGCAGAAATAAGTACTGCTGTACAGGCACCAGATTTCACATGGTTGCGTACATCTCAGTCTAGGACATAGATGCAAACCCTAGGGTAGGGTGGATGTTTGAACAAAGATGGCTCCATGCTTTTGGAAAAAAAATCAGATGAAGTCATTGTAAGGGTGATCTGTTTGAGATGTAATACATACCTGTAAGTGTTACATTTACACATTACTTAGGATGTATGTATTTAACATGAAAATATATATCCAATGCTGGTCCATGCTAATGATTTGCCTACAAGAAATGTATATATACAGTATACTGTATGTGTATATATATATATATATATATATATATACATACTTACACACACAGATATTCCTCACTCAACGACCGAGTTCCGTTCCTGCGAATATATATATATATATATACACACATACATATATACACACACACTATATTGCCAAAAGTATTGGGACACCCCTCCAAATCATTGGATTCAGGTGTTCCGTGAAATGTCCTTGCTACTAAATATTCCACGGTTAACTGTTAGTGGTATTATAACAAAGTGGAAGCAATTGGGAACAGCAACTCAGCCACTAAGTGGTAGGCCATGTAAAATGACAGAGCGGGGTCAGCGCATGCTGAAGCACACAGTCGCCAAAGAGTCAATAGCTACAGACCTCCAAACTTCAAGTGGCCTCCAGATTGGCACAACAACAGTGCGTAGAGAGCTTCATGGAATGGGTTTCTATGGCCGAGCAGCTGCATCCAAGCAATACACTAGAATGTAAAGTTGTTAATGGGCCGCTGTTGTTTACCCATAGATATAACATTGATACTTATCAAACGTGGGGTTAGTTCATTGGTTGTATAAGATATTCAATAAAAGATAATTTCATATGCAGCAACAAATGTATTTACAAAATCATATGTTCATAAACTGGACATTCAATAGTGTCAGACATTACTGAACTAGTACAGAAAGTGCCATAAGTGCCACATTTACATTGCTAATTAGTTTATTGTACAAAGGAAATACAGACACACAAAACGATTTGTTTGATTAATTTGATTAAAAGATTCAATTGATGGATTATTTTTTTTTAAATCCAATTGTTGGGGTTATATCCTGGGTCCTATAGCAATTGTAATTTCCATCAGAGGAGCAGAGGTCATTAGAGCCATCTGCACATTTAGAAAAATACACAGAGGTTCTCAACACCCACATTAAGTGCAGCATCATGTTACATAATGTGACGACATTATCTGCCATGCTGTGCAGTGTAGAAGATCATGCTGCTACTGACAAGCCCTATTTTTTGCGTTTGCAGTGGAACGCACTGGCAAAGTTTTGCCAGGCGTCCGATCGCACTGTGGCGCGGGGGGCGCGGAAGCGGTGCCATTGAATACAATGCACCGCCACGTCCCCTCCCGCTCCAAAATGCAAGGGGAAGTTTCTCAGCGATCGCAGTGCGTTCCAGCAGCTACCGCTCTGGAACGCACACGCTTTCGGTGTGAACAAGTCGTCAGTCATGTTCTAGATAAAAGAGTAAACATATATTGCAATAGGTTTTTAAGCTATTTGTATTGAGTGGTGGGGGCTGTAAGTAAAGCAGACATTTCATTTTCATGGTCCGCTTTAATAGCATGCTAATTAGCCCCACTCAATGCCAAGTAACTGGAACAGAAAACGTGTGATGCAAGTAGTTTTTACCACATAACTGGTAACAATGCATTTTAAATATGGTTTGGGCACAGTTGGATATGTTTTTGAAACTGTTTTTTTATTCCATTCTGTAAGACCCCTTTCAGAAGGGTGGCCTAATCAGGTCTGGCTGTCAGTTTTTCAGGGAGATCTGATCAGAAGCCCAAGGTTAGTCTATGGGCAGTCAGATAAACAGACCTGCATCTGTTTACATCTGATTACTCCCCACTGCGTCCAAAAAAATAATAAAGTCACCGGTACTCCAAATGATCAAGCCAATAAGTGTATTGACCCAAGTTGATAACACCTCTAGCATCCAGGTCCAGACCTGATCGTGACCTATCGGGGATAATCTGTGGTAAACAGACACATTGTCATTTACATCCGACTCCCCATAGACCTAACATGAGTCCAGTAAGTTCAGTTTTTTCCTCCATCGGAAGATCAACGGTGACATGCGCTCGATGCTGCTCCGATTAGCAGGTGATCCATGCACAAATCCCCTGCTGATTGGAACTGACTGGAGCCCGCGTGAAAGGGGTCTTAGCGAGAAATAGAAGAATAGAAGAGGGTACAAACCCAGGCAACAAATACAGAGATGAGCAGGTCTCATTGTAGATAAAAGGTAAGAAACTGAACTTGGTCAGTTTGAAAAAAGGACAGTTTAGAGGTCTTGATACAAACTTCCGTGGTTGCAATAAAGTTGAACACCATTCTTTTTTTTCATTGTGAGTTCCATAGTATGTCTTGGAACAGTAGGCCTTATAATCGGCATGCCCTAACCCAGGGCTTTCTGTGTAGTCATGTGCTAAGGCATACCTCCCAGCTTCCTGAGATGATAAAAAGGGATACATTATTAGGTAGCAAGGGACACACCTCATGCCCCAGTGTATACCGTCATAGGAATTAAAGTGACATTAAAGGCAAAAAATGTTTTCCCTCCCCCCAATGTTAATGTTAGCACTTACCTTAAAAGAGGTTTCTTAATCCGATCTTCCTCTTCTTTCCTGATGTTTTCATCTGTCCCTCCAGCGGTGCGGCGGCTCTACGATCCAGCGACGACTCCTATCTGCTTGCAGGCACTTCCGATCCATCGGTGTCTGCATGCGGGTGCACGTGTCCATAGACTTACCTTGCGTCTCTGCTCACCTCCCGGGCGAAAATCCGAACTGCGCATGCGCCTGCCCCAAGATGCTTTGCGGCCGTCCGAGCAGTTTCGGATTCTCGGGCGGGAGCGCACGACGAAAACAGGGTAAGTGCAGAACGCTGTTAAAGTTTTTGTTTATTTATTTTTTTAAACGTTTTGCCTATATCTACTGCTTGCTAGCAGTAGATATAGGCAAAAAAAAATGAATGGTTAAACTCACAGGTGCTTTTTTCACCTCTACTTTTCCTGTTTAGTGTAGTATAACAAATTTGAAAGTTAAATAGTGCATTTTAAAGAGGTCTATACATCAGAACAAAATGAAAGACTACTGAGGTTGAAGAGGGGATAGAGGGATGTGGGTCCAAAAGAGGGACAGTTGGGAAGTATGGCTAAGGTTTTATCATTAGTCTCCAAAGATCAAGTGACTATTTACCGCTCCCAAGTATGCGGAAAATTGGGAGAGGGGGGCTTTTTACTTATTTCTCACTACAAAATTAAGACATTAAAACATATGTTTATTATGAATTCAACATAAAAATCAAGTTTGTAGATACAAACAGGTCATTGATACATGTAGCTAGTTAAAAGTCCATATGGCAAGCAATACAGGTTATGTTGCAGTGGTCTAGTAGTTGTTATTATAATTTGTATCTACAAACTTGGTTTTTATTTTGAATTCATAATAAACATATGTTTTAATATTTTATCAATTTTGTAGTGAGAACTAAGTATCTTAAAAGCCCCCCTCTCCCAATTTTCTGCATACTTGGGAGTGGTAAATAATCGCTAGATCTTTGGAGAATATACAGTACTGGGGTGTGAAACATCTTCTCACTCCTACTAACTGCCGATATTGACATTTAAGGTTTTATCATTGCAGAAACAAGTAAATTAAAGCTATTGGCTATCCTTACTAACAGACTAGATTTACTATTTGCACTTCATTTTGAGATTAGTTTTACTGTAAACACATGGGCTAAGGACAGGCACAAATAGTTAAATTGCTTCTCGATTAAGCAAAGGGATTACCATTATTCAAACAACTGTAAATAAATGAACACAATGGAAGGAAAACAGACAATTAATTCCCGCTAACTACTTGCTGTTTGCTTTGCACTAAAAGGGATATTTTGTGGTATAGACATTAGCATGAAAACAAGAAGGATTTAATGGGTTGTTAATCGCAGTTCTTTAGATTTGGATGAATGTAAATCCACAGATAGATTGTGAGGGTCTTCGAATAATGACGCCTAAAATCCTGCTTTTGACTTGACTGAAAGTAAACAAAAAACCTAACTGTCTACTAAGGCTGGACATAGACTATAGAGAATAATTAGATATGCATGTACAAGCCCACCATTTCACAATGTCTTATGTAAGGCAATAGAGGAAAGAGGGGGAGTCAATCAGAGACACTACAAGCACCAGCAAATACAACAGTGACTATGCAATCATTTTGTTCACAAAAAACATTTATATGGGGTGTGTGCTGACCCATACATAATAGATCATCATGGACTGCAGTTTACACAAGGCTTTCCTGCCCCCAAATTACAATATTTGGTTCCTCAGACTCTAATTCAGAAACACCAGCCCTTTCACATCAGAGAAAGGGGATTGAATCACGTACTCCCCCCATACCCAGAACTCCTGGAATTTGCTTTGCAGGGACACGGGGCACAGTGGTGTGGACATGAATGGATGGCGACTATGTGCCACTCATGGGACTGCTATTAAAGTGCATGGGCAAGGCAAATGTTTATTTTAAGGTCAATCTGACTAATTCAGTTGCATTTTGGTGTTGTTAATTTATTCATGTAAAGTTAAACTCTCAAAAATGTTTTCAATAATGGATCCAGATTAAACAAATATACATTACATTGTCCAGCAAAGTATTTTTTTACATTTTTGTCCAAACACAGTCATCATGTTTCCGAAGAGCTGTCTCCAACTCTCTCAGCTCAGCTTCTCTGAACTTCCTGTCTAGTACAAGATCACAAGGGACGGAGCAGTCTCCAGCAACTGTCCATCTACTAGTTTAGAGAAGGGAGGAAGGAGTAGAGAAGAACAGTGGAATGGCTTGCCTTGCTGTGTGTTTGTGGAGGCACGCAAAGCTTACTAGCACACACAAGGGTGGCTCCTTAGGACCCTATAAGTGAAAGGAACCACCCTAAAACAGGATAGCAGGTCCAGTGATCAGTAGACAAGCTGATTCCGCAGGACACTAAAACTTTTAAACATAAAGGAGCAGCATTCATTGTAAGTGATTTCATCAGCATTTGAAATAGCTTACAAACTTTTTGACTTCAATATTACTTTAAAGTGGACCTTGCAGTGCAATTCTAGGTTCACATATACATAAAATATTAGATTTTATGCCTACCTCACTCCCCCCTCTTCTGCATCACTAGACATAACATCATCATCTATCTGAGAAGATTCTTAGGAGATGCAAAGCAGCCCAAATATTGTGAGAGAACACATCTAGTTCGATGCCAGAGTGTCTTCTTGTGACATTTGGGCTGTTCTGTATTCCCCAGGATCTTTCCGTAAAGAGTGTGATGTCACTCTTGCCTTTGTACCACAGGCAAAAGATTGGGGGTAAAGTAAATATGAAACCTTACTAATTTTTTTCATCATAAGTTGTGGCCCTACTATCAGCAGGCAAATCATTTATGCAGGGGGAGGGAGGCCAGACAATATATGTGGACCTTGCATTGCACTGCAAGGTTTGCTTTAATAGACCAAAAGAGTAAAATCCGAGTAATTTATCTTTATTAAACAAACACATCAATATATGTACAGTATATTCTCTCACCATATATATATATATATATTGTATACATATACATATGTTTATACATTGCCTCCCACATAAATATGTATTGTTTTCCATTCCACAATGATTGCAAAAGCGATTTTACATTATGCTGTACATATTCAGATTTTCTGGCACTCGGGGACAGGGCATTCAAATATAGATGTAAACCCAGCTTGAGCTCATAAAAAAGATTGCAGTGAGAGTGAGTCACTGTGCCTGAAATCAAAATTGCAGCAAAGACAGTTCACAGCACCCTGCTGGCCTGTAAGTTTAGATTTAACTCTCTCCTTGCTCATTTCAACTAGGCACATATTGTTTTATTTAATAACAAAGTGCAAATAGCAGATATGGCTTGCAACATGTAGCAAACCACATCAAGCAAAGTTTACACTTCATCAATTAGCCTATGGAATTTTATAACAAGCATTTTATTTAAAACTAACCTGTAGTTAAAGTGACACTAAACACAGGAGGTAAATCTTAAAAATGCATTTAAGTACCTTAACTATTTACAAAAATGTAGATAATGTGTGTATTACTCGGCTGTAGACACACAAGTCATCTCTGAATTGGTGCTGACACTGTCTTTACTTCTGGAGGGTGGCTACTTTTGTTCCCCATGGTCTCTGTGTGTTGTAAACTAGCCACCGCCCGTGATGGACTACAATCTCATGTTTAGTCTACTAATTTGTACTGAAATTGTATTCCATTATGGGAGTGAGCTTGGAGTGGTGGATACTTTACAACACACACAGGGACCAAGGGGAACAAAAGTAGATGATTATAGTAATACACATACTTGATTTGAGTGATACACAAATAAGCTAAGCCCAATACAAATTAGCTAACTAAACTTAAGAATGTAGACCCGCCTGCAGACACCGCTGGATCGGAGAGACAGAGCAGTCAGCGCTGGATCGGAGTGATGGGGAAAGAAGAGGAAGATCGGAAAAAGAGACATCATTTAAGGTAAGTGCTAACATTTACATTGGGGGGAGGGAAACATTTTTTTGCCTTTAATGTCACTTTAAGTTAAACTATATCAACATTTGAAAGCTTTTCATTTGGTTTAAAATGTGCAGAATTAACGGTTTCTGTCCACCCAAAATTGATATTTCAGTTCTTGGTGGATGTCAGAGAGTTAAACCACCTGACAGTTTCTTTCATCTCTTGTGGAATTTAATAATGAGATGTCTGCACTTGAGTTCCAAGATACCCACACCTGCTGTGGCTGTTATGAGTGGTTCCCACTATTATTGGTATTATTATTATACAGGATTTATATAGCGTCAACAGTTTGCAATTACAATACAGTTACAATACAAATCAAGACAAGATGGTAAGGGGGGTCCTGCCCATGACAGCTTACAATCTAAAAGAGAGGGGCAAGTGATGCAAGAGGTGGTAGCTGTGTGGGGATGAATTGTTTGAGGAAGTGATAATTCAGTGGTTAGGTTGAGGTGGGATAGGCTTCCCTGAAGAGAAGAGTCTTTAGGGATCGCCTAAAGGCAGACAGAGTAGGAGATAGACCGACAGGTTAAGGTAGGGAGTTCCAAAGGATGGGAGAGACTCTAGAGAAGTCCTGGAGGCGAGCATGGGAGAATTTGACAAGGGAGCTGGAAAGCAGAAGGTCTTGGGAGGAGCGGAGGGGATGGATAGGGTGATACTTTGAGACAGAGTTTGAGATAAAGCCGGGGGCAGAGTTGTGGGTGGCTTTGTATGTGGTTGTTAATATTTTAATTGTATCCTTTGGGAAATTGGAAGCAAGTGGAGGGATTGGCAGAGGGGGGTTGCAGACACTGAGCGGTTGGTTAGGTGGATGAGTCTAGAAGCCGCATTCATGATAGACTGAAGAGGGGATAGCCTGTGCAGTGGTAGGCCAATGGGGAGGGAGTTGCAATAGTTCAGACAAGAGATAGCAAGTGAGTGTATGAGTAACTTTGTGGCTTGATTGGTTAGGAATGGGTGTATTTTGGAGATGTTACAAAGCTGAAGGCAGCAGGATTTGGATAGTGATTGGATGTGGGGCAGAAAAGTACGGTCAGAGTCAAGGATCACACCTAGCACCTTGGTATGGGGGAAGGGAGGGATAATTGTATTATCACCCTCAATGGAAAAGTTAGGGGAAAGTGCACAGGGGGAGGAAATATCAAGAGCTCAGTTTTTGAAAGATTGAGTTTTAAGAAGTGTTGTGACATCCAGACTGATA